GATAATCTCACTTAGACAGCTTCTCTCACTTGTCTGACTCTACTTCTCCTTTTAGCAGCAAGTCAACAGGATGTGTGCCAAAACCACATCAGTGTCAAACTGTGCGCCTGTTTCAACATGTAGCAGTTGGGTCTGTCATAATCAAATGAGCAGCAGTTAAAGCAGCAGCTGCTCACAGCTGCCTTTACATTTTTTAAGTTCATCTCAAGTGATGAAAAAAAGCTACCTTTGTTTGGGACCATACCTAGACTGACTAGAAGCATAGCGGGGGTTTCTTCTGCTTCTGACAGTAAGGTTTCATAATACCATGACTTGTCAGATGTGGGCCAAATAAATAGGGGTGGTGGTAAGAGGAACAGGAAGAGAGGAGACGAGAGACAGAGAGAGAGAGAGAAGGTAGCAAAGGCAGACAGAAAGGGCGAGAGCTTGTCACGTCGGTATGTGAAACTGTTCATACCAATTTTTTTTTCTTTTCTTCTTAAAGATATTGAAAAGACAAGGGACAAGCTAAAATGGTGTGCTGCTCCGTCGGTGGTGACTTCAAGAGATGATGCTTTGAAGAGACAAAGTTCAAAACATAACGGTAAGAATGAAATTACTACATTTATACGTACTGCGGTGGTAGACAGGGTAGCTTTTGGGGCAAAACAAGAGATTCTATTTGTCCACCAAAGCGAAAGTTTAAGCAATGTACCCAACAGAAATCATCAATATGCAACATGAAGGTGACATCTCCTCCCAGCATGTTATTACACATCTTGTTATCATACAGCTGACAGGACTATAAGACTTAAAGTTGGACTTTCATCTTAAACATGTGTAGTCAACACGCTAGAACCTGACAAACTGGTTTCACAAACATTTGTTTGCAAGAGAAAGACACAGCTGCTCTATAGCTGACTTCAGAGTTAATGTTTGTTATGTTTGTTGAGTATTTTTGTCAGAAAAAATTAACATTGGGGTCTTTAAAGTCTTTGACCTAAGATCTTTGACCTAAGCCCCTTTTCTGTGTTTCTTCTTGTCAGGGTTTAACTAAGAGATTAATGGACTGCGCAAAGATCAAAGTTGAAATGGCTGAAGAGGGGCTGCTGGAACCTCTCGTCATCATCGAAGAGGGAGACGTGACTGAGGGCGTCATTGAAAGAGGGGCAGTGAGCAGCTCAGTTGTCATCGTACAGAGCAGCAGCGGCGACTCGGCTCTGAAAAGGGAAGAGGAACATACAGGGGAGGACAAGAATGAAGAAGATATAGCGGGCAAAATGTGTTCAGAAGGGCAGAAGCGGGAGAAACAACCAGCCAACGCAGAGGACAACCAAACAGGAGAGGTTGTTGTGAATGAAGGAGACAAAAAAGAAGATGATAAACCAGAGGAAACTGAGAACATGAATGATGGACAGAACAGCGGTGCTGGTGAGAGTGAAGGGAAGACTCATGAGGTGATGAGGATTAATGAAAAAACAGAGAAACCCAGAGACATGGGGGATAAAAAAGTCACACAAAATAACCCTGAAGTAGACATAAAGAGGTTAAATTCCTCCGAGGAACAACCTGAAGGGACAAAAAGCCAAGAAGAGGATTCAAAAAAGGTTGGTTCTTATTTTCCTTTTGGCATATCCCGTGTGATTACCCCTATAATAAACCAGTCAGCATGGCATGCAGTGAATAAAGTGTTTGTTTGTAATGTTCTTTGACTTTACCAACCAGCCACCATGTGCCATACGAGAACAACAATCTCGTGGTGGAAAAAACAGCAGGTATCCTTTCGTTACAGAGCATGTGGGAGTGCGTAAGAGTCAAGTGAGTTGTTTTGCTGTGCCAACAAACAGTCTGTGCCACTCACGGAGAAACCTTTCCTCCCTCCCTCGTTCTTTTTTCTTCCACCTACCCGCGTGTTTCTCAGGCTCACCGGTTAACCCCTGACTTCCCGGAGGCCCTGTACGAGCTGCTCTGCACCCTTCAGGAGGGGAGGCGGCTCAACGACCAGCGCTGCTCCTTCAGGCTGGAGAGCGGGATCAGGAGGAGGTGCCACTCTGAGCCCAACACCAGCAAGCCAGCCAACAGAGGTGGGAGCGCCTTGAGAAGAATGATGCAGCTGTTGCGTTTGTGTGTGATGCTGACTCATGTCGATCAAGCTAAATCAACATGAAACTACCCGTACTTTGTGACTAAAGAATGTTTTTTGAAACTTGTGCGACTTACGTGTTCTTAAAATCTTTCCTTGATCGCTGACCACTTAAAGTCTCCTGCCATCTGACCATAATAGCTCTTTTCTCTCATTTCCCCACAGTCGTTTTTTCCTCCATGACTTCACTGCAGAAAGAGGAGTTTTTTGAGCTGGTGGCCACATCTCAAGCTCGCCGGCTGGATGACCAGAGGGCGCAGCTTGAAAAGTCTCCGCCACCAAAACCAAAAGCCAGGAGCTTCAGAGGCAGCATAAAACAACTCTCTTTTGTGAAAAGGCCTGCACCAGTTCCTGCGCCAGTTCCTGTGCCCAATGAGGATTTGTATAATATGATTCTCACAACACAAGTAAGCAGTCTATCAAGACAAAAGTGTACAGTTATAGCAGAACACATCTTTGCAAAACCGTGCCAACTTTAGTGGAGAATTATTTGACTTTAGTCGTTATTTCAGGCATTCATTTTCACACCTACCTTCCACCCACAGGCTCAAGGCAGGCTGGAGGACCAGCGCAGCAGGGCTCCTGGTCCCATGGACGACGAGGACTTCTTCTCCCTGCTCCTGAGAGTCCAGGGTGGGCGCATGGACGAGCAGAGGACTGAACTACCTTGCTTGCTGCAAACCTGAGATGGAAAACAAAAGAACTGTGGGGCTACAGCGGAAGCCAGCCAGTATTGTGTATTTTATTTTTTGCCAGATTTCCTTTTAAAATAGGTTTTTTATTTGTTGACCCTGTTGATGCTTTGTTTTAGGGAATTGCTATTCCTCTTGATAGTGTTGGTCAGTGTTAAAGCTGTTGAGTTTGTAGCAAAAAACGCTAATGTTTGAGCAACAGAGCTTTTGATGTCACTTGAGGGACGTTCCTGATGCGATTGTGATGTTTACTGCTAATTCTTTAATAGTAAATAAGATCCGTAGATAGCTTTCTTATCTTGCCAAATTTTTAATTTTTATTGAGTGACTGCGACGAGTGGTTGAATGATTTTTTTGTGCGTTCTAGTTGTTAATGTGGAGGAGGAAGTCTTTTAATCTCTATTGTTTCTCATTATTTGTACAGAGACATTAAACACACCAGGGATGGTTGGTGTAGAAATAATAGCTCCAAGGCCACACAGTGCTTGACTGTATATGGATTATTCTCCTCCTGAAAATAAACAAAACGTGTATCTGAGCCATTTGCATTTACCCACTTCTTCAATTGTGCAAAATGTTGTTGGGAGAAAAAGAGATTTAAGACTCTAATGGGAATATCATTTGAGTGTGTATCCTTTTTTTATTCCATTTTCACCAATTTATTTTTGCATATGAAACACACAGTAGCCTGTAATTGCAAGCATTTTAGCAGTTACGCTAACAAGGAGGTAAAACCTGTTCTGTTATCTTTATTATTAATCATCATTCCCTTGCTAGGTCACATTCCCATAAACGTCTGAAAGTGTCTAATCTTTTTAAAACAGCATGTTGCACATAAATCAAAACATTCACACAGAAAGAGACAAAGTAATGATGTCCCATTTAGGGAACAAAGATAAAGGTGTTAATTTTTAACAGAATAAATGGACTGAAAAGGAGTTTTATCTCAAAGTTCCTGAATTTTGATTTACACTAGTGAGTCATTTTTATTGAAGGTCACATCACCACAAATGCAAAAAGGAGATTTACACTTCCAATGTAACGTAGCATTAACTGTGATGTTCAAAAATGCTGTTTCTAATAATACAGGAACCCTGTGACCTCCTCTGGTGTGTGTTTAGTCCACTCAGCTTGGAGCAAAGCTTTCTGAGGAAGTCCTGGTCGCTCTGCACAAGTAAGGTTAGAGGTGACACTGTGCCACTTCTTCAAACAGCACATTTATGTGACATCTGTCAGCAATACTTTGTCCAACACTGCTGGTTGAGATCTACATTTAAAGGAGAAAACATATTGTAAATCAAATAGAAGAACACTTATATTGTATTTTTGTTGGATTATTAAAAAAATAATAATAAGGAAGCTCAATTAACTCATCAAAAAGTTTACATTTCACATGTAAAGTCAAAGGTCAGGTCCAGAATAATTAATGACACAGGCATTATTCTGTCACATGACCGGCCTCTGCTCCAGATCAAGTAATATAAAGACAGATCAACAATTTAAATGAAAAGAAGAAGAAGCATGTAACAAAACAAAAACCACACTTTTCACCAAAATTGTGAAAGAGTCAAACAGAAAGAAACAACAGCAGGCCAACTAACAGATTCAAGTTCCACTTTTAAGATGGAAGTATGCAAGGGTTGGGCTGATATACTCTATCATTTCTCTGCTATGGCCTTGGCTTTCTTTCAAAGACCAGATTTTGACCAGGTCAACATGAGCTTGCCGTTTTTCTTTTTCTCGTAGAGGGCTGGTTGACAGTTTCTTCTAATGTGGTGTAGTTTGGGAGTGTCTGTAAAATGGTGATTTAATTGTGCTCTCTAACTGTACTCCGGAGGCTTACTGTCTCTCAATGCTGTATAGGGTTTCAGAGAAAACAGTAAAAATGCATCAAATATTTAGATATCGAATACTGATAGATCAAATGTTATTACCATAGATCCAGTGACTTATTTAATAATGTATATGTTGGATTTATATGAATGATATGAATTCTTAAATGGTTAATGAAAACACTATGTCTATGTTTATCTTACGTTTATTAATATCACTCCACACTCAGGACTTCTGTTTATGTTTTTATCAAGCTATTTATTTAAAAAATGAATTTAGGCATGACCATTTTTTTCTATATAGCCCCGCCCACCGGTCGACGTCATCGATCACATGACTGAAACCAAGGACTTTTAGACAAGGATGAGCGAGGAGCCAGGAAGTTACAGATAATTAAACACCGAGTTTAAGTATACTCTTCATCAATTGTTGTATCGTAAATTTTATACCTATAAATAACTACTCAGCCTGTGTGTGTTGAGTCTCTTTGACTGCCGTAGTTTTCCTGTAAGAGCGAAACCTGTCCCGCCTAACGTCACTGTCTCATCCCGCCGTTGTAGTCCCAGACCTAAAACGAGGATGTGAGTTAGGTGAAGATGAAACCTAAGGAGTGGGAACTACTTTGCTACGGTAGATATTCGTGCTGACAACCAGATAAGAATCCACTGGGGACATAAATGAGGAGACACACACCGAGCCAGATGTGAGTACGAGTGGTGACATTAGATATTTAACATCTGGCTTTACTTTCCCTTTGCAGTGAGCACGGTGGCGACTTGCAGTGACTGAAGTTCAGTTTTCGCTTTAGTTAGTTAACTTTGCCTCAGTTTTTTTTTTAGATGTATAAGGTCTGACTTCTTGTAGTCTGGAGCTTTAGATTTTATCTTTAATTTAGTGTTTTGTTTCATTTTATTTTTCACGAATGTCACAAGATGCTGCTTCTGTATCCAGTGTTAATATAGACTGTATTAGTAGTGTACAGTACTCAAATACTGTACTCAAGTACACTTTAGAGGGGCTTGTTCTTCACTTCTGTATTTCCATTTCCTGCTACTTAGGGAAATATTGCACTTTTCTCCACTGCATTTATTTAATAGATTGAGTTACTCTGCAAATTAGCATTATTAGTAGAAAATTAAGTCAACAAATCAATTCTGATGTATTATTATAGCAGTATATGAAACAGTTAAAAGAAGCTCCACTTTTACCAGCTGCGATATTAAAGTGATGCTTATGCATTAATGCATCAATGATTAATGCAGTTATACAATATACATATATTATTCTGAAATGGGTCACTCTGTATAATGAGTACTTTTACTTTTGGTGCTTTAAGTACATGTTGCTGCTAGTGTTCCTGTCCTTCTACTCAAGTACAATCTTGAATACAACTCATATACTTTAATATTCTGTTGAGTTTGAGTGTAATTAAATGTTTGTCATCAGTGGTTGAAAGGTCGTTTTAGTAAAAGTCGGACCAGCAGTGGAAAAACACCACAGCAACACTGTGGTTGGATGTATATTTTTATAGTGTACATTTGTGTACCTTCCACTTCTCTATACACTTATACAAAAGCCTCAGTTCCCTATGCAGGTTTTAAAGGACAATCTGTCTGAAAACAATACTCATGCTGATATGAGCCTATAAGCGTCTGCTGAAATTTATAATGCATTTTTACACAGAACAAGGACTGTGGATTTAGCCCCTCATCATTTAAAATGTATTTATGAAGGAATCTCTTTGCAGTCGGTGTGAACAGTAGGACGGATTACAGCGTAGAATACATGATATATATATGAGTATGTCAGTAGAAACATGTCAGTTTTTCCTTTAATTTGCCAATATCCTAAATACCTTTTTGTAATTGTAAATATATATATATATATATTTACTTTCAATGATTAATCTGTCTCTTGTTCTTAGATGTTGCTGTTCCTATCCTTGTTGATCTGCTGTGTGCCACTAGGGGGCGACACCTCGCCAATCAGCTGCTACAATGACCAAGGAGATGCAGTTGATTGGTAATTCACTGATAACAGACCTGGACGAAACAAGCATTTAAAAATACAGTGTATGGTTTGATTTAACCCGGTTAGTTGTCTCAAGAAACCTAACCAGAAAGCTAAAAACAATAATGCACAAATCAGTTTTCCCCAATGTGTTTTATTTACATCTTCACTACTGTCTCATTCTCTGTTAGGTTTTATATGTACAAGCTGCCTAAAGAACATGAACAGGGTGAGATGTATTTACTGCTGGAAAAAGGGAGTGAAGGATGGACTAATGGGAAGGGGACAGTGAATGACACCACGGGAGCTCTGGGAAGGACAGTCGGACAACTGTACTCACAAGGAAAGGTCTGCTTCCATTTTTTTTGTCTGTAACAAAAATGGAACAAATACCAAGTCTAAACATTGTGAATTCAGTTTTGTCTTACTGAGAGTTTATTTTCTAGGAGATCACCCAGGTGAAAATCAGCGTCCTTCTATTATTATACAGTTTTTCAGTTACTTATTTTTCATGGATTATAATATAAATAATTTTTGTATGATTCATGTGAAATGGCCATGCAAAGTCTAACTTTTTCTTATGACATGATTTATCTTTCCCATGGTGGTTGAAAATCTTCCTGGATATTAATATTAGGTTTATTTGCATTCTGTCCACAATTTAACAAAAGTATATTTTACTCAAGCAGTATCAGTATTGAAAACTTATCAGCAGATGTCATTTACTCTGTCAGCTTTCGTTTTCATGCTGCAGTCATACGACTTCTCAGTTATATGTAATTTTATATAGATAGACTTGTTAAATCCTGTGTTATAACCATCTGATGTTATTAGATCAGAATAAGAAACTGAGAATAAGAACTGAAATTTACTTGTTCATCTATATGCATGTGTTCTCCTGTTTGTCCAAACAGCTGCAGGAAAAAATGTTATGCTGTTTTATTCTGTTTTCATCTGAAGTGTGTCTTTTTTTGTGTGCTTGGTATGTAGTATGATGGCTTCTCATTTCGATAAAAAGCTTTGTCCTCTTCACAGAACACAGAGCTAGCGTATATCCTTTACAATGACCAGAGGCCACCTGTGGAGTTTGGTGACAGATGGGTTGACAACAGTGGAAGCAGAGGGGGGCACACAAAAGGTGAACACCGGAGCAGTCTAATACCTGCAGAGCGCAGGTTGGCTGAAAGAGATTTGACTTCATACTCAGAATCAGCAAATATGAAGAAGTGCATCATAGGTCCGACAACAGTGTATGAATTATGTCAAAGCAAAAATGTCAAAGTCAGTCGCTATATAAAATTAAGGATTTCATAAATCAAGCTTCATTATACACTTTATATTGTTGGCTTATATACTACAGCCATACATTACTTCCTGTATGGGGAAGTACCTAAACACATGCTAACCCGATTTACATACTTCAAAAGAGAACCATAAGAGTTTAAAAAAACAACTTAAACAAAACTGCTAAAATTCAGAAACTTTTAAAGATTTTAAAACCACACAAGTCATGTATAAGGCCAAATAAATGACTGCCTTAAAGTTGTGTAGAAAGGGAGAGAGTCAATATGACTCGTTAGGGCTTTTAAAGTTTAATCTAAATACAAAGTGCAAACACTGTGACAGTTTGAAAGGGGTCACCCTCGTATGATTAACCTAAAATCACTGTGTTTGTGTTTAAATATGTAGAAATAAATGAGCATAGTTAAGTTTATTTAGTTTTGATTTGCAGGAAAGGAAACCCTTGATGACAATTCTAATATCTCTTCCTCAGGTGTTGTCCTGCTGGATAAAAATCAGGGCTTCTGGTTGGTTCACAGCACCCCTCACTTCCCCCCGGTACAACAGGCAGGAGAGTATTATTACCCCAGCACCGGTGTGCCCAACGGACAAAACTTTATCTGTGTTACTTACCCGCTCGACCGCTTCCAGACCATCGGTAAGTCTATCCATTTGGCCGTACATAGCACAGGCTTTTATAGAGTTGCTATAAAAATGCAGTTAACACTTTAGAGTTCTGTTTAATTCAATGACGGTATTAGATTACAAAAACAGTATGAGAGCTGAAAGCTAACGAAGATTCATACTCTGCCTTCTGTCTGCTAATTAAGAAGGAATTCCTTATCAAACTAATATCTATATTGGTGAAAAAGGTAAGTTTCGCTCAATATATTAAACATTTGTGGCCTCTAAAATGCTGAGAAAGAAAATCTACCATATTACAAATAAAATTAGGCCACTATATTGGTTTGTTGATATATATTCAGCATCAAAGTTTCATACTATTTACCATATCAGCAAATCAATCAATCTCCTGCCTGTATAATGGAAGTTAGACAAAGTCTATTCAACCTATAATGACATATAAGGTATCCAAGAGTTTCCCTGCTATTGATTGGTGTGTTACTCTGCCTTAAAGAGTTGCCTATTATAACAAGTTTCAACATGTTTCAGTAGAGAATCTAAATGCTATTTCTACGGCTTTCCCAAGAATATTATAATACTCCTCCAAATATGTGTCACTTTTTGTCATGAAATTGAAAAAAAAGATTTTGTTCAATAAGAGAATAAAAAAAACTACTACTGATATCTGCCTTTGTCAAAAAATAAGTTACTTACTTGGGATATTGAATCACAAGTTGTGTGGTTAGCGTAGGCGGTAAATTATTATTTAAGAGTTGTCTCATCTTGAAAAGAAAGGAATTTCTTCAGTAATTATTGTCTTGACGCCACCCAGTACCTAATAATCAAGTCAGGTATTGACACAACAACGATCCTGATCCAAGATAATCAACGTAAACAGGTGTCATCACCATGTCACCGCGCTGCCTGTGCAGTTCCCTGGCAGACCCAGCAGTTGGCACAGTTGCTATGGCACTGCCGGGGGTAATGTAATTAGATCGAGGTATGTTACCATAGAGATATCAGCGCTCACACTGCGGCATGCATTTGCTCCATCAGATCCTTGCCTCTCCAGCTGGGATGTTGAGAGTGTGACAGTGTCCGGGGTGACGTGGATGCACGGCGCATAAATGTTTTGTCAAACAGCATAAAGTGATCACAGCCATATCACAATTCATTTTCAAGCACCTTGCAGCATCAATTTGCATGTTAATGAGGGAAACTGAGATTTGACATTGAGTTACTAAATACTGTCTGTCCAATATGTGACGACTGGTATGTTGTCAGAAATATTTGCCTGCTTATGTTTTAATTAACCTAATCACTTAGCACAATTAGAACAGTTATCTATTTTATGTGTTTTATGTTTTGTTGCATAGAGTTAGTGCTGGAACTAATTTATCAATTGTTGTCATTATTCAATTTAAATAATGGAAGAAAAATTACATATAAGATAAAAAAAACCAACTCCAGTCATTGCGGTAAACAGTAAGGTCCTTATGTGTTACGTATGTGTAGTTATATCATCTGTTGCTGTGCACAGTTGCCGCAGTGCCTCTGCACCAATGTCACCAAGACAGTGCTTTTCATTTACTGTACTTAACGAATAGAGTGATTCTTGAGTGCCGTTAGCAGCGTTTGCCCTAAATCAAATTTGTTTTGCACCACAGGAGAGCAGCTTCAGATCAATCAGCCTAATGTGTACGACTGCGATGTCCCTGAGTCCTTGGCATCTCTGGTTCCCGCGCTGGCCGCTGTCTGTAAGAAAAAACATCTGTCTGGTCACATCTCTCCACATATCATACCTGTGTCCAATCGCAGCATGACTCTGACCTCAAAGGATGGCACCAACTTCATCAGCTTTGCCAAAGGAGCCTCTTTTGATAATGGTATGACTTTGGAGGAATAAAAGTAGTTTAAAATGAGTTCAGGCCTCAGTTCATCTGGTGTCAGCTTCACCTTGAGTTTCTTTGCAGGTATAAATGGGCCAATAATTTGTGATAATAATTCACACTCCTTACTGAGACCATATTTTTTAACATAATGTAGACAGGTTACTGGCAAGAAAATAATAAAAATATGCTCCCTCTTTGCCTCATCAGACCTGTACCACTCCTGGGTGGCCCCCACCCTCCAGTCAGACCTCCTGGTCCAGTTCTGGGTTCGCTCCACTGGCATCCTTCCCTCTGACTGCTCCCTGGGCTGGAAAGTCTTGGACATCACGCTCATCAACCCGGGGCAGACGTTCACCTTCAAGGCCAGCCAAGACCACTCCAAGTGGGCTGTCAGCCCCAAGGAGGCTGGGTCAGGGGACGGAGGAGGCTGGGTGTGTGTGGGAGACATAAACCGGAACGAGGCGGAGGAGAAGCGGGGCGGCGGCACGGTGTGTCTGCAGGACCCAGTGGTGTGGAAGGCTTACCGGACGGCAGCACTGGAGTGTGAGGCTTGTGGAGGAGGAACGATCCAGTGTTGACACCCTTCTGGAGCCATGTGGACCAACTGGGGTTAAGGAAACGCCGATAATATCTGGCATGTAGGTTTGAACACATTTGCTACATTATAATATTTCTTTTAATCTCTCGTAAAATCAAATTGAAGTGACCCAGGAATTCAGCAATATCTTAAATGAAAAAAGAAAACTTTTTGGCAGAAAATAGTATGTTCATATAGTCCCCTATCGCTCACAGTAAGAAACTGATTGAGAAAATATGTTTTCGGGTCCTTTAAGGCACAAAAACCATTTCACTTGTTCAGAATGATTATCGGCTGTAATCAAGGGCTGTTACATCACCCTCTTCAAACTAAATGCATACAGAACAATGCTGGAGGAGTAGAAGTAGGGAAATGTGACAGGGAGCACAGGGTGTTATAGAAAATATGGTGTTCATTTTGAAAAATACAAAAGCCTCAAAGTGGTACTTCAAATGAAAGCATTTGTTCGAGTGTCTTTATAACTACTGGGTTCTGTTTTAATTGAAACTGATGAAACGATGTTGCAAACTGTAAAAGTGCTGCCTAGCTACCTTGGACTTTTTCTTTTAAAACCAACATTATCTGGTTTGTAGGTTTGTTCTCAGGGAGCTCGCCAAGCTTTAAAATGTATGAAAACTAATTTTTAATGGAATTTTTAATGTATGAACATTGTGGGATTAATTCAGCACACGCACACATTTCACTGACAACATTAAACTACAGACACTGACAACATTCAGGTGCGAGGAATGCTTTAATACTTTGTGTTTCATAAAGGTTTGTTATTTACTGGGTTGGTATGTGTGTTTATGAATTTAAAATGTGCTTTTCTGACACATTCAGAACTTTTTTATTATGTGCTTTAGATTTTATATCACATTTCCACATACATTCATTCTGACCTTGATTTTGCTTGACAATAAAGATGCTGGCTATCTTGAATCTGAATAAAGACTAAAACAGGTGTATTTCTTTTTTGCTGATGTATATTCACCTTGCTTTACCTTATCCATGAGAAAAATGGAAATGTCAGTATTTGACATATAGAGACAGCTTTAATTCTTTTTACGGGATACTCAGCAGCATGGAAAGTGTCTGTATTGAACGTGGAATATGTTACAGCACATCAGTCAAAAGCAATGAAATTCATATAAAAGTAAATTTATTACCACAAAAATAGGACATCCTGTATGTAGTGCATAAATAGCTTTGATGTGAGACTTCACAGCACTGGAGGTAACTGCATTGCCTCTGTGTATACATTCTAATGCAAAAATGGGAAAGATGAGCATCCTGTAGAGAAAGGCACTAAAACAATCAGTAACATAGCAAAAACGCCAGCTCACATCATCTGAAGAATCCTCTCCCTGGTCCCCCTGTGATTGTGCCTCAGCCAATCAGGAGGCCTCACCAGCACTGAGCGGGTACAACCAGAGGTCACAAGACTTTTTCAAAGTGCAGACTTTTTTCAAAGAGGTTGTGTGTTTTAAACCTACACCGAAGTCGACATGTTAATTCATAACATGAAACTGGAGCTAAGGCTTTGTACTGCAGGTAAACAGCAGGGAAGGTGTGTCCTGCTGAGCTGCGTAAGAATCTGCATAAATTAAGTGTAGCTTATGCTCTGTTGAAAAGTTCAGACCTGGAAAACCTTAAACCTAAAAATGGTGGTGTATTGTTTGAATTTTCCTTACTGTCTTCCTCAATGGTTTTGGTACTACAGTAATAAACTGAAGCAAAGCCACAAGCTTTAAAAAGTGCTGCAAGGTGCTTTTAAAGCTGCAATAATCAATTTTTAGCCACTAGTGATCGGAAGAACTTCAAAATTGAGCTGTATGACATTTTAACGCCTTATGAAGTTATTACAGCTAACCTGCTGGTGAAGAGCTGCCTAGATACACATCCAGCTGAGGAAGAAATATTTATCTTTAGTTATATTTCTGTCCATATCATGAAATAAGTGCATATGACTCTCCTTTAAGTCTAGTTTGGTCAGGTTTTTATTGGCTAGATGTTTTATTGGCACATTTTTCACCAGCAAGTCGCTAACTTGTGTGTGTCTGCTCGTTTCTGTTGGGCAGGTAGCATAGGCCTACAATGGGTTTATCTGAGTTTTTTGCTGATGCTGGAAATAGGGTTGATAACAGCTGTGAGAATGAACCCTGAATGGGCCTTGAAACCCAAACAAATTAGGCCAAAAAGCTACATAGAACTGCAGAGTTGATCATTATTTTTAGGTTAGTCACTACAAGCAGCCACTTTTACAATATGAATAGTGATTAAATTCATTATTTATATTGTTAATATAAAAATATTGATTAATGCAGCTTTAAGTTTATGTAAAATGAATATCTGCTTGAGTCAAAGCTAAAATAATGTTTTTAAAGTGGAAATTTTGCAGGTATTGATGGATTTCTCCTTGATGAATTATTTACTGGACAGTTGGGACACATGGACCTAGAGCTCCTTGCCAGTGTAAACACAATGTTGACATCATACAGACATACAAAATATATAAATATATACAAAACATATATATGTCTCCAGTGTTTTGCTACAATGATGCACTTGCACTCTATCTTTTGGTCTTTCTCATGTGCTGTTTACCAGAACCAGATCTAACAGGCTCTGAATATTTAGATTTCATTAGGCTTCTTCCCCCAAAAAACACTCTCCTAAATCCTTCATCAGCATCTCAGGTGACCACAGAAGTTCTGACCAATTCAATCTTTTTACATTTGGAAACGTCACTGAGGCACACAACAACAAAGGATCTCCTGGCGACTACAAGCAATTACAACAGATCTTATTCATTGAGTTAGAATGAAAATGCATCAAGTGCTACCTGACTGGGACTCGAGAGCCAGCACCAAAAGTACTCAGTTAAAGGCTTTCATTGCTCTTCCTCAGGGTATAAATTAGTAATGCATACTGTTTGGAAAAGAAGAAAAGTGACGCTGTTCTTCAGCAGCACTCTACACACAGCAGGGCGGCTGGAGGTCTGAAATGTTTGACAAAACCTGCAATGTTGATTAAAACACAAGAAGGATTTGGTCTTGGTGTTTTGGTAGAACAAGCTTCTTAGGAGCACGGGAGAAAGGCATATGTAGATTCTTGTTTTGCACAGAGAAGGCCACATTTACTGTTTGTAAGAGCTCAAACTGCATTCACGTGGAAAAAGTTGGGTTGAGGAACATCTGGTGTCAAAATAGAGTCCTGACCAGTCTCCTCCCCTTGGCCTTGATTCGAGGAAAAGTGGCGCTTGTCTCTGTGCTGATCGGCTGTGACCCCAAAGGAGTGTTCCCGCCTTTCCTTCTCAACAGGAAGTCAACACTAGATGACGTCATTGCGTAGAAGACATTTCCTGTAGCAGGGATGACCAGTTCTGTGTTAAGAGAGGAAGAGAGACAGAATTCAAAAAAGCTTCTCCAAAGTTGCTGGACTGATGGCATCAGTACTCTAAAGCTGACATACATTGGACCCATGGTGGCCCAGAGGTTAATGCATCGACCATGAACATTAACATCCCCAGAGCATGTCCTAGCGGGGACTTCTGTTGCATGGTGTTCCCACTCTCTTCTCTCTTTCTACTGTCACTATCTAACACAGATATAAAATGCTCAAATATATATTTGAAAAGACATAATCCGTCAAAGTTATTCAGTTTACAATGATATAAAAAAGACAAATGCAGAAAAGGATCTTGTCATCACTTTTGAGTAGCTGCATTAGGCAAATATTTTATACATTTTTGCATAAAAAAGATTGCAGTAGTTGCAGATTAATTTTCATTCAATTGACTAAACAAATGTTGCAGCTGAAGTAATAATAAGGTTTTATTCAAGTAAGCGAATCTGTTTGTCGAAAATGTGGTACAAAATGTATTACCCTGTGATCTTTTTCTCCTAGTATGACATTAGTTTTATCTCCATTTGGATAACAAAAATACACCACTGGTCAAGAAATACAGTGCACTTTGTGTACTAATAGTGCTCCTATTAACAGTGTTGTGGGCAGAATGGATTAGTTTATCTTTTGCTGCACTGGAAGCACATCTTTACCTTTTCCTTCAGGCAGAAGTTGGATCAGCTCATATCTGGACACCTGTTTGGGGTCCTGACTGTGCTTTTCTAAGGCAGAGCTGATCACAGTGGGGGTCTTGTCATTGCTCGTAACCTGAGGGGAGAGGGGAGAATAACAATGACACTAGGACAGCTTGCGTTGCACTAATGATATCTTGGGTCCATTGTATCCTGAGGATCTGATTCTGATGACTATCATTATGGGAAAGACTGTAAGTGCAGCCTGTCGCAGATAATTTGGGACAGAGCATTTTCTACAATCTAGCTGCTGCTTTAAATTATATTCAGATGGTTTGAATTAGTACCAGTATGCTTCGGTACAGGTTTCCATCATGCAGGTCCATTCGTATCCTGATGATTCGCATGTCAGCCCCTGAACCTTGGATGTTATTGGGGGGGTTGTTGCCACAGGAGGCTGATCGGCGGTGCGATTTTATGGGAGTGGATGGAGTCAACGTGGCCGGGGTAGACTCGTTGGTTGGAGGAGACGTGTCAACATCCAGACAGGACACAGACGGAGATCTCATGTGCTGCAATAGAAATGAAAACAACGGTTCTAATGATAATCAATGAGGTGATTGTTTATTCTAAGCAAAGTAAGAGTCACTATCCATCACTTCTACAATAAATAACTCACTCCTGCATACAGTGTCTGTGAAAGGAGCTGACAAGAATGCAAAGTTGGACAAGAAGTAGAAGAAGAAGAAGAAGAAGAAGTAATACCTTTGTGAGTTTTGACAGCAGATTATTGACAGGGGAGGGAAAGTCAAAGAGGCTGTCACTGTCTCCAACCAGGCTGGTCCGGGAGGTGCTCAGGCTGTCAACACATGAAAATATATATATAGACATTCAAATTAAGGTTCAAACAAATAATTGTTTTTGTTTTTTATCATGGATTTATAATCATTTAGTCAAGAAAGTGACCAAGGTGACACTAACTTGCTTTCATTCAAAAATACTCAATTCAGAATGATATGAAAACAAAGAAAAGCTGCAAAAACTGACATCTGAGAAGCTGGAACCAGTAAATGTTTGGCTTTTTTTGTTAAGCAATTAATTTGTCTTGATCACTTAAATAATTAATTATTAAAATTGTTTGCTGCGGCTAATTTTATTTTTATTGACAAGTGGACTAAGTAATTGACTAAAAGACTAATCGTGCCATCACTGATTCAAGTTGTTGATACAGCGATTTATTACTGAATTTCCATAAAATTTGGGGACTTTGGGGATACATTAAAAAAGGAATGATCAAATTTGAGATATGCTGACTTATTCCATTGAATAGTCAAGAACATTGCCATAATGCAACTTAATAATATTGTTCATTAGACTCTTCCTGCCTGGTAAATGCCCACATCTGTCACATGGCTCTCTTTTATCAGAGATACTTTTCAGACTTTAGAAAGCTCCTCACAGAGTTTTTTACAGTCTAATGATTTGCTCATTATGACCAACTTAAATCCAAGTTAACATTTTACTATGGTCTGGGTTGTAAAAGTGTGTGTATGTGTAAGAGCATTCGATATAGCTTACTCTGAGCATTGTGTGATGATGACTGTTGGAGTAAGGCCACGGGGGCTCGGCTCACTAGGTGCTTCAATTTCATTGGACAGTCTATAGCTGAAATAGACAACCGAAAACAAAACAAAAAATTCTTCATTAAAGAG